ATTAGGGTGATATTAACCTCAATCATCTGATTAAGGTGGTGTCTGCCAGATATCTCCTCTGTAGAGATACTTTATTTCCCTTCCATACTCTAGGCTTCAAAAGCACATCCCTAAGTTCAGTCCACATTCAAGGAGAGGGGATACTGCAACTTTTAGAATGGAGAAATAATTCAAGTTTTCACACCCTGTGGATAAAAACATATACAATAAGTAAAGACATGATGAGAGAAATGGAATTAGCAATGCTAATTTTTATATTCTTTGATCTAGTATTAAAGAGCTGAGTAATGACAGGTGACCAAACTGCTGAACTGTGAATTTTCTTAAAGTTGCTTTTACAAGAAATACGGTGTATTCCTAGTAAAATAAATGGCCCTTTTTTTTTTTTTTTAAGATTTTATTTATTCGACAGAGAGAGAGAGACAGCAAGAGAGGAAACACAAGCAGAGGGAGTGGGAGAGGAAGAAGCAGACTCCCCGCCGAGCAGGGAGCCTGATGCAGGGCTGGATCCCAGGATCCTGGGATCATGACCTGAGCTGAAGGCAGATGCTTAACGACTGAGCCACCCAGGTGCCCCAGTAAATGGCCTTAATATGGTGCCCCAGCTTCTGCCTCAAATAATGATGGACTAGGAAATTCAGACAAATGAAAAATGTGGGGAAGTATAAAAGCATCTTCCTAAAAACATCAAAGATTTAACCAAATTATGAGTTTTTGGGCCAAGATCCCCCAAAAGAATAGAAATCCAGAGGAGTGAGCCCAGCTCTGGGATTGTGTTTGCTTAGGGACTTTCGTTAGTCAGGAGAGGCCACAGAGCAGAGCTTTCAACTACCTTATAGGTTATGGTCAGGACAACGAGTATTGGAGGCCAGGGCTATGGGGCTGAAGGAAGGGTGAATAAGAAACAACCAGCCCTCACACACACCGCAAGTCTGGCTTCAAGGTATCTGGGTGGACAGAAACTCAAGCCCTAAAATGGAGTTCAGATAATGCTGAACAGCAAGTGTCCCTGGTGGGGGCAAGAAATAAACAAAATGCTCACTGGAGAAAGCCATTAGCATTCAAGACCTAAAATTATTTCTAAAAATATTTCTAAAATTATTCTTAAACATAACTTTGCAAAAAAATATATCTAATATTCAACCAGGATAACATAATATAGTGCCTTAAGATAAAAGCACACTTTAAGAGGGAAACAGAAAGATTGCAGTTTGAGTTTGTAAATTATCCTTACCTGGTAGAAGAAGTAAACAAGCCTCTTAAGCAAATTTAGCATATGCAAATCCAGGCTTACAAAGGGATACATTATGGGGTAATTTCCAAGAGGATTCATTACAGTATTTCAAAGGTGGTATGTAGAAAATGAATTTATACTCCGTTTTCTAGGAATATGGTCCATCAAACAACTGGGTACCTGAGATTGAGAGACATCATAAAAAGGATGTGATAACCAATATAGGAAGTATTAGTTGTGGCTACATGTAAGAGAAAATTCCCCAAATAACAGTGTTTAAGTAAGATGGAAGTTTATTTCTCTTTCACATAAAAGAAGCCCAGAACTAGACAATCCAGGGTCATACCTCAGCAGCTCCATAATGTCAGCAGGGACTATGGCACCCACCTTTTGCTCCACTGTTTTCACTGAGGGCTTCTCTCAGCAGTATGACTACATACTCCAAGATGGCAGCTGGAGTCCAGCCATCCCATTATGTTGCAAGTCAGCTTCCTTTAAGCAACCTTCTTATATCACATAACACTTATTACATGCCATAGGACAGAACTAAGTCACATGGCCACCCCTGGCTGCAAGGGAAGCTGAGAAATCGAATCCCTTTGTGTGAGGCAAAATGTGTCCATTTCAAAGTGAGGGTTTACTACTAAGGAGGAAAGAAAAAAATGGATGCTGCACTGGGTAGCGAGTGGTCTCTATCCCAACAATGAAATAAGGGATTGGTAACTTTAAAAGGAAGTATGCTAAAATCTCAAGGAGTATTTCACAGCTATTATAGAACATTAAAAATACATAGAGCCTGGTGATGGGTATTAAAGAGGGCACATATTGAATGGAGCACTGGGTATTATATGCAAACAATGAATCATGGGAACACTAATCAAAAACTACATAATGATGTAATATATGGTGATTAACACAACATAATAAAATAAAATTTAAAAAAATACATAGAGGGGCGACTGGCTGGCTCAGTTGGTAAAGCATGCAACTCTTGATCTTAGGGTCATGAGGTGAAGCCCCACATTGGGCCTAGAGATTACTTAAAAATAAATAAATAAATAAATAAATAAATATCTTAAAAAATACATAGAGGTGATATATAATGAAACTGAAACACTCAGGTTATTAGAAGCAATGAAATTGATACAATACTTTCAAATAATTTAGGATGTTTACAGATTTTAAAATGTTCATATTGTCCTTTGGCACAGTAATCCCACTCATGGAAATTTACCTAAAGGAAAAAGAAAACACAGAAACAACTGAGATGTTAGTAGAACGTTGCTTAAAATAGGGAAGTACCTGGATTAACATAACTGTTTAGCACTGGGGGCAGTGAAGTAAATTATAGTTCATTAATTCAATGGACGAATGTAGAGTAATGAAAAGCAGTAACTCAAAGAGTATAACAACATGGAGTAGATATTTAATACCCCAAAATAAAAAAGCAGGGTGCCTGGGTGGCTCAGTGGGTTAAGCGTCTCACTCTTGATTTTGTTTCAGGTCATGATTTCGGGGTCCTGGTTAGGCCCCAAGCTCTGCTTGTCCCTCTGCTCCTCCCCCTGCCCATGCTCTCTCTCTTTCTTAAATATATTTTAAAAATCTTTAAAAAAATAATAAAGCTACAAATTTGTAATTACAATTTGATTTTTAATATTTCTATGAGTAAGAAGCAGATGGAAATTAGGAAATTGAGAAAGTTGACTTGTTGGCAGAGAATTATAGATGCTTCTCTATTGTTTTATTGTTAGATTATACTGTGGAAGTTTTTGAAATTTTTTCAAATCCTAATGTATTCATAAACACGTATATAAAAATAAAAGATAACTGCATATATCTTAAGGAGTGTTCTTCTGAAATTCTGGAGTTCTGGATTTCGAAGAGTGAGACAGTTCCTCACAATGGTGAGGGTTATAGGCTTTTGAGTCACATAGACCTGGATTCAAATTCTGCATCTTCATTCATTAGCTGCATGACATTGAGCCTTATTTCCCCAGCCATAAAATGGAGAAGATACCTAAGCGCTGGCATGAACTTTATTTAGATAAGGAAGCATACTGCCTTTAAATAAATGGTGGTCACCAAGGAAGAATGCCTTCATCTTCACAAGGGCAGTCCAACCAGACCCTTACTTTGAGTCGGTGTGGCTTTGACGGAGAGAAAATCAGGAATTAATTCAAGGGGAGAAGCACAACATAATTCTATGTCCAAGAGGCATATTTTGAAGTGACATATTCTGATTTGCTTCACCAGTAAGGTTGTTTTCCAGGACTTTTGCATTTCTTGCCATCATAAACTTTACTATTCCAAGGAGAGGGTGTTACATGATCTATGGTATGGAAAGCTTTTAGAAGGGATAGCAGCCTGACGCTTCTCGGCGCTGCTTGGCCCCCTATGTAGTATGTATGGTTAGCTATAGTTATATACCTATTTTAAATATATACATGTGTACAAACTTATTTTAAACAATGAAACACCTATTACCATTATAGTCAGACAACTCTTACTGTGTTTGTGTTAATAGTTATTAGCCAACTGGGTTGCTTAAGGGAATTACATAAGCAACAAAATGATAAGGTGATCAGGTGAGCTCCATTTGATGTTACAATTTCTCTGCCTCGGAGGGTTTTTTAAGTCAGATGAATCAGTAGTAGAGTAGGAAAAAAGCAAGGAGGGAAAGAAGACCAGGGAAGAGAGTGGTTTTCCCAACACAGAAATCAAGGTACAGATGTAAGGTGGATCCACCATGGATGACAGCTCTTCTGATTTTTTTAAAAGCCTCTGTTGTGTTCAGTATGGTGGTCACTCCCCCCACAGTCACAATGTGATCTATTTGAAATACATATCTGTCCATATTCCTATAATTTCCTCACTACCCAAAAGCAAGAATATAAAGTGAAATAAAAATAGTTACCAGGGCTCCTGTGGGATGGCCTCTTTGCCCACCTCTCTATTCTCTGCCTTATACTCGAGTGCTTTTTCTTGTTCCAGAAACCAAATCAACTCCAAAGTCTGCATTTTCTCCTGCTTTTTCCTCGGCCTGAATGCTAGTCTCCCCTTTCTTTGCCTGGTTAGCAATCATTTACTTTCAAAAACTCTAATACCATCTGTCAGGAAAACGTCCTTGATCCTTTTCCTGAGCACTGGCCCCTGCCTGCCAACTCTTTTACTTTTTTAATTTCTATCTAATATTCCATATAATTTTATTTAATTTTGGTGTGTCAGTCTTCTGGCCCCATGGTACTACTTAATCTTTGTATCCTGTCCCCTAGCAGGGTTCGCACCCAAGAAATGTTTATGTGACTGAAATGAACCCAGCTTTGGTCACTGATGACCCAGTGACTTCCAACACATACCCTGGGCTCAGAATCTATAACCCATCCTCAAAATCACCATACTCACAAGAGCCCCCAGAACACAAATCCTTTTTGCAGCATTTGAAATGTACGAGGTTACCGTTACTCATCTTAACGTATGGTTCCCAGCATGGGCGAACCCTGATCCGTGAGAGGAGAAAGGGAAATCTAATTTCTAGGAAATAACTCCAGGTCGGCTCTCGGGAAAAGCAGAACTATGAGGCGTAAGGGGCCACTCGGCTGGGCTGCAACTCAGTCCCACTCGACTCCCACCGCTCCTACACACTCTAGGTTTTCTCGTGGGCACCATCGAGGTGGGTGCCACGTCCGTGCCCCGTGAGCTGGCGAACGTCACCAAACACTTCTGGCCGGACCCCTCAGCAGCAGCGGGATGGGGTGGATGTCGCCACGCAGCGGCCACACTCTCAACCTGCGACGGGCAGGCGGTGGGGTCACGGAAGGGAAGCCCCCGGTTTCGAGGCCCCATACCCCGGAGAGCCCCAGGGCAGGAGAGCCCGCGAGGAGCCGTTCGCTTCTCCGGAGTTGCGCAAGAGCCAGGGCGGCTGGGAGGGCTGGGACGGCCGCGAGCACCCCCGCCGAGTCCGAACCAAAAGCGAAAGGAGCCCGGCGCCGCGTCCCCGCCGCTCCCACGTCGCGTCCGCGGGGGGGCTGCCGGGCGCCTCCGAGCCCGCGGGGCCGCCGCTTTGTGACTTCACTGGTTCCGAAGCAACCGGGGCAGCCGCCGCCCCACCCACCCCGGCCGGCCGGCCGCCCGCCCGCCTCGCCGCCCGCCGCCTCACTCCGCTTTCCGCGCCTCCCTACATCCGGGGCCGGGCCTGCCCCGCCGTCGCGGAGCCTTGGGTCCGGCCGCCGCCTGCGGGCCAGCACGTGCGCGGCTTCCGCGCCCCGCGCCCCGCGCGCGACCCCACAGAGCGTAGCGCGCTCCCGGCGGCCGCGCGATGCTGTGCTTCCTGAGGGGAATGGCCTTCGTGCCCTTCCTCCTGGTGACCTGGTCGTCCGCCGCCTTCATCATCTCCTACGTGGTCGCGGTGCTCTCGGGGCACGTCAACCCCTTCCTCCCCTACATCAGGTGAGGCCGGGCCGGGCAGAGGGGCCGCGGGGCAGAGGGGCCCGCGGGGAGGGAAGGGTCCCGACCTGGCAGGGGGCGTCCTGCGGGGAGACCCACGTCTAAGGACGAGGCGAGCGCGCTCCTGGCGGCCGGGACGGGTAGGGAGGCAGCGGGCGCAGAGCCAGAGCGGTGCTGAGTTTACCCCGAACATTGAACACTGAACCCAGTGGCGTCGGGAGGGGCTCGGGATAGACAATAGAGCTTGAGATGGGCCGTGGGACAGAATCCCTGAAGATGCTTCTGGGGCGGTATTGAAACAAGAATGGGGCCTGATGGATGCCATTTTTTGAGTGTGTAAGAGGCAGGTCCAGGTGTATGCTAAAACAGCTCACATATTTCACTTCCACTTCCCAACATCCTCATGATGGATGTCCCGCGCATTTTTCATGCAAGGAAATCTAAGTATGAGCAGACGTCAAAATATCATTAGTGTAACACTGATGTCACAGGTAGGAATGGTGGAAGCAGAGTTCACACCCAGATCCGTCCAATCCAAAAGGAACGCTGTGTCACCTCCGGGTCTTTGGGATCGGGCTTAAGCTCTCCTGGATGGAGCTGCCCAGGATCCCTCTGGATACCGCGCCCCCAAAGTCAGAGCCCTCAAATTGTCAGCAACTTATGACATATCTTGCGTTGTCATACCGTTTCTTTTTGCATGGTTTTTGGCCTCACCATTCCTGAGGGGTTCCTCATCAGTGCCCAGGTCGTTTCGATCCTCTTCAAATGGCTTCCATCTCTGTGCCTAGCCCCATGGCAATGGGCGTTCCTTAACCATTAGAACGATCCATCCTTATCCAAGTGCTGTGACCTGCAGTGATTGGTGAGGAAATAATAAAGTTGGTGGTAACCAAGGTTTGTTACCACTTTATGATTATAGGGATTATAGGGCTTCTCCATCCTGCAGCGGAGCCTCATGGTGAGCCATGTTCTGTAATGTTTGTGGGCACGGAAGGGGAAATGCAGGTGAGGCAAGAAGGGCCTAGAGTTTGAAGCAAGGAGGAGAGCAGTGTGGAGAAGAGTTCAGAGACGCAGCTAATGGTGGTGGTTTTGCCCACTCAAGAGGTGTTCCAGGCATCAAGAAGACTTTCCCATCAGACCTGGTGCCCTGCGGAAACCTGGACTGGGTTTCTCGTGGCTCATCTCAGTCTCACGTGGCATTGTCTCGCTTCTCTTGATTCTGAAGCTGATAGATCCTCTTAGACTTGCATAAAAGGGAGGAGTTTCTTTCCCTACAATACTTTTTTTTTTTTTTTAAAGATTTTCTTTATTTATTTGACAAAGAGAGAGAGAGGGAGAGCACAAGTAGGCAGAGAGGCAAGCAGAGGGTGAGGGAGAAGCAGGCTCCCCGCAGAGCAGGGAGCCCGATGTGGGGCTCGATCCCAGAACCCTGGGATCATGACCTGAGCCGAAGGCAGACGCTTAACGACTGAGCCACCCAGGCGCCCCCTACAATGCTTTTCATGAGAAAATAATAGCTGTCCGGGATCTAAAGGTCAGGAACACATAATATTTGATATTCATTGGCAGGGGGAGAGGAGTGGAGAGTGTCAGAGGCAGGAGGGCTTGAATCTTTGTGATGTCTGATATAGTTGTGATTAATAGCACCACAAGGCGAACTTGAAATGGAAGACATTCAGAAATTGGGAAATGAGCTGACAAGATGAACCACTTGTGAGATGCTCAATCACAGACAGTCCAAAGAATAGGTATTAAATTTAACGAGGAAAGGAAGCCTTTAGGAAAAGCAGAAGTTACGGAGAAAAAAGCTGGAGATTGTCACCTTGTTGCCAGGAGCCCCCAGCCTACAAACAACAAACACATGTTTTGTTGCCCACATGTGCTGGGGGCTTTTAGGTTGTCTGCTCTCTGCCTACTTGAGCAGCTGGAGCACTCCATTGTCTCTCTGTCCCTCCTAGAAAACCAAGTCATTGAGGCAAAGGCAAGATTTAGATTAAGAACAAGATACTGGAAAGTGATGGGAGTAATGCCAGATTTATCCATTTGGCCCCAGAAATGTTCAACCTTATCTCCTATAACTCATCTTTGCTGTCAGTGCCTCCCGGTCTCCCTTACCCCCACTCCCTCCACTTCCCTCAACTACACTGGCTTCCTTCCTGTGTCTTAAGCTTGTCAGACACACCACCTCCTCATGACCTCTGCCCTGGTTATTCCTCTGCCAGAATGCTCTTCCTCCAGAAATTATGAAGCTTTCTCTCCGACCTCTTCCTCTGTTCAAATATTGATGAGGCCTGTTGCCCTATTTAAAACTGTCCGCTAGCATTCCCGAACCCCCATATCTAGTCTAATTATTCACCATAGCATCTATCATCTTCTAACAAATTACATACTTTACCTGTCTTTCTTTTTTTTTTAATTTTTTTTTTAAGATTTTATTTATTTGCGAGAGAGACAATGAGAGACAGAGCATGAGAGGGAGGAGGGTCAGAGGGAGAAGCAGACTCCCTGCTGAGCAGGGAGCCTGATGTGGGGCTCGATCCCGGGACTCCAGGATCATGACCTGAGCCGAAGGCAGTCGCTTAACCAACTGAACCACCCAGGCACCCTTTATCTGTCTTTTTTCACTGGAATGTAAGATCCATGAGGGCTTTCAATATTTGTTGAATTAATATTTCTCAGGCATTCATTTTCAATAGAGTTATTCTTCCCCCTAGGGCCACGTCCCCTTAGGGAAGGCTCGGTAAGATCATTGGTCATTGATCAGTGATTTGGATGTATTCAGGATGCTTCCCTTTTACGTGATGACATTGTTCAACCAATCCAATGTTCTGACAGTTCTTAATGTTAAACACTGTATTGATTTATTTTTTAACAACGTTGAACACTTTATTTTTTTTTAAGATTTTATTTATTTATTTGTGAGAGAGAGAGAGAGGCAGAGGGAGAAGCAGGCTCCCTGCTGAGCAGGGAGCCTGATGCGGGACTCGATCCAGGGATCCTGGGATCGTGACCTGAGCCGAAGGCAGACGCTTAACCATCTGAGCCACCCAGGCGCCCTGAACACTTTATTTTTTAAGTGTTTATTTATTTGAGAGAGAGTGAGCGTGTGCACAGGGAAGTGGGGGAGGGAGGGGCAGAGGGAGAGAGAGAATCCCCAGGCAGACTCCCTGCTGACTGGGGAGCCCTCCACGGCGCTCAGTCCTAGGACCCGAGACTGTGACTTGAGCAGAAATCAAGAGTCAGCCACTTAGCCAACTGAGCCACCCAGGTACCCCCAAAACGTGAACACTTTAAATAAGAGCCATTGCATTTTAAATAAGAACCATAATCCTGGGAGGACCTCTTTGCAGTATGACATTCAAATTCAGCTTCCTCATGACATATCTTCTTGTAACATTGTTATCCTGCAGCATATTGAATAAAAGGCAAATAGCTCTTAGACCTGTGGAAAGATGCTCAATCTCATGAATGGAATAAAAATTCAAATTAAAACTCCCTAATGCCATTTTTTATCATTGGATCAGCAGGAACCTAAATTTTGATAACACACACTCTTGCTAGACTTCGAGGAAATAGGCTTTCATGTGTTGCTGGTGGGAATGTAAATAGATTCAGTCTCTATGGAGGGATTTTGGCATGTATCAAAATGACGAACATTTATCTGCAAGGTTACTTACAGTATTGCTTTTACTAACAAAAGGCTGGAAGCAATGCAGATTTCCATCAGAGAGGATTGACTAAATAAATATGGTTTATCCAAAGAATACGTCAAAGGAAAGCTCTCTATACACAGAATACTCTTTTTAAATTAATACATTAGTGTGGAAAAATCTCCAATACATTGTTACATGGAAAAAAGCAAGATGCAGAGCAAAATATGCTACCATTAGTGGGGTGGGGGTGAGGGGAGATAGAGATTGGTGGGGGTAATAGTGTATACTTGTATTTGCTTGCATAAAGAAACTAATAAATGTGGTTTGTGTATGAAGGAGGAGGTCATGGTCAGGGAGACTTTAGCAGGTGGAAAAGAGGGTGGGAATAAGGCCTTGTGCTATACTTTTTTATTTTTATTTTTTAATTAATTAATTAATTTAAAAAAGATTTTATTTATTTATTTATTTGTTAGAGAGAGAGAGCACAAGCAGGGGGAGCAGCAGGCTGAGGGAGAAGCAGGCTCCCCACTGAACAAGGAGCCCGATGCGGGACTCAATCCCAGGACCCTGGGATCATGACCTGAGCCAAAGGCAGATGCTTAACCAACTGAGCCATCCAGTCATCCCTGTGCCATACGTTTTTAAAATTAGTCTTTTTATTTTGAGATAGTTGTAAATTTACATGCAGTAATAAAACAATAATGCAGAAAGATCCCATGTGTCTTTTACCCAGTTTCCCCCAACGGCAATATTTATGAGCCTGGCATGTCTTACTGTATGTATTTATTCTTTAGCCACATGGACTGATTTCCTATTAAAACTTAAATTAGAAACATGCAATTCAAACAGCCTCTTGATTTAACAGGCTGAATTAGCATAGTGCAATGTTTCTGTATTAGGAAACCATTAATGCCCTTAAGGGTGTCAAAATGAAGGACAGATAAAAGTCAACCTCAAAGGATTAGTTTAAATTTTTACAAGGTCACACCCACATTCTTGAGCACAATCATACTTAATTTGTTATAGTTTCTTATATTCCCTCTGTGACCCAATCTCTTAGGCTATCTTGAATCAACTTTACTTATCAACTCCTCCCAGCTGATAAGCCACTCTCTTTTAAAAAATCATCTTCTTTGGACTGTGTCTCATGCTTCCAGTATATTCTTTGGCCCTTTAAAGTTTTGTCAGTTCTGCGTCCTGGTTGCTTTTTATTAACCTGGTCTCATTTTTTGTGCAAGTACTGTTTGCTGGGTAGATTGTGATCTTTGGCCACTCCCATTGTTCCTCCTCATGACCACAAACTTGCTCAGTGGTTGGTGGCAGAAAACCGGGTCACCTAGAATTAAGCCG